TCTAGGGTCGCTCGTACCGAACCATCCCACCAAACATACGTTACCGGGAGTGGGATATTCAGCATGGAGCTGATAAGATTGTCTCTGCGAGAACTCGGCGAACCTGCGGTCTTTCTCTGCTACGCTCCGCCCGAGATTGTGGCCAGCTTGACCTACGACTCTCCTGAGTGTGATGTTTGGAGTGTTGTGTTAGTTACAGTATCTCACTGTCAAGAAGTTGCCTGTCACTGCGAGAAAAATACATGAGGTTTACCTGGACCACGGCACTATAACGTAGATTTGCTCAATATCCCCGCTGGCTCAGTACACTATGTCGGCTTGCCTGAGAGCCTTCCCTAGGACGAGATAACGCGTGCCAGGCGCGCGTGGAACGATCTCCTGGGAGATCATTTGTCGCTAACATTGATCTTAGAATTCAAAAGTATACAGAAAAAAACTCCGCTATAAGCAGTGTCAATTTCATTTGAGGGCAGAGATACCGACCGAGGATTTAAACTGGGTGTTAGGCCCGACACGCATGATACGGGGACACTATGGTCAGATGATCGCACGTGTGGAGTACATCCAGTGGATCATAAGGCTAAAAGCCAAACAGTCACAGGGAAATTCTCATTTGGTCAAATTCAGCAATTCACCGAGCTCGAATGCCCTCTGTCGTGAGGAGTTTCATTCCGTATCAGTTTAAGTCAGTATTCATGCTTGCGTTACGGTCTTTCTTAGGTTCTTTTGCTTCGCGCATTGTCTCGTAGACAGTATTTTCCGCTGAAGGGACTTCGGTACATGCGTGCGGTTGAAGCGCTAGCTGCAGGAGCGGCTGTAATTCCTCGTGGAACGAGTATGATTCCTAAATATCTTAATCACACTGACATGATCATCATTCTGTAATGATCGACCTCTTGGTCAAGGTTTTCCTTGATTGAGCAGTGAGAAGACTATTCATGAACCCAAGAGATGCCACAGTTTCGTCTTTTCTGCACATAACAGCTTCATGTCAAAGCGCTCTACCCCCTTCTGGACTCTCTTCGCCATCACTATCAGCTTTGGTGCGAGCACTAGTAGTCGCACCCTGCTAAGGATATCTCATCGTGGAGTCCCACTCGACATTCGTCATGTACCAGGAATGATGGAACAGGCTCTCGCGGCCTCTGACGGAACGGTACAATCTCTCAGTCAAGATGATCTTGATTGTGAACGATGCTTCGCACAAGATGAGATGGTCTATGACTTGAAGGCATTGGGGGTACAAATTATAGACTCCAGTTGTCCGGCTGGTCAAAATCAAATTCTGAACTACTTGAGGAAAGCAGAACATATGTTGAGCATCGACTTCGATTGCGAGCCCGACTCGAGGGTCACTCTGCATCCGGCTTTCACCACGGACAGGACCTCGTGCACTGGTGGCAATCCTGCTCTCGGCACAAACGACCCAGGCTCTTCATGTCAGCGTAACCTCGAGGTTATCAATTTAGGCGCTGCTTTTGAAGCGGCTCGCTCAGCCGGACGGAAGCTGAAGGATGTTGTGTTGGCTATCAGCGACACTGGTGTTGACATGACCCATCCTGATCTGGTTAATCAGTTCTGGAGAGGTCCTGACAATATTATCGGCTACAACTTCATAAACAACAGTCCTGATGTTACTGATGACAATAGCCACGGTACTCACTGTGCTGGCAATGCTGCAGCTCAGACTAACAATAGCATTGGTATCGCAGGAGTGGCAAATATGGATGGGTCTGCACCCAGAGTCAAGCTGATGATACTCAAGTTCCTTGATGCCTCCGGAAGCGGCTATTCGAGTGACGGACTGAGAGCCCTCAACTTCGCGGTTCAGAACGGTGCAGCAGTCTCCTCTCACTCCTACGGCTCATATGTTGGGAGTGAAATCGGGAAGACCGCATACAAGAACGCCGCTGCTGCTGGGCATTTGGCTGTTGCTGCGGCTGGAAACGACGAGATGAATTTGGAAGAGGTGCCGCAATATCCGTGCTCCTACGCGACCGAAACGTCACCAATGCTCTGTGTGGCCGCCAGTACCTCCGATCCAACCGAAACTATCTCTCTCGCCTCTTTCTCGAATGCTGGTTCTGTGACGAAGGTTGCCGCACCCGGTGTTGATATTTATTCAACTATGCCAGACGGGCTCTATGGTTATATGTCTGGTACATCGATGTCGACTCCTACGGTTGCCGGTGTCACGGCTTTGCTGGGTACGCTCGGTCTAGATAGTCAAGAAATAGTGGACACTATTATCAAGTCTCGGACCGAAGATTTACCGAATAAGTTCGGGCTATCTGATATCGGGTTAATAAATGCCTACAAAGCAGTCCAAATAGCTCTGGGCTCGCCGGCTATACGCTTAAGAAAGAACACCCAGTCTTCGAATAGTTGAGTGCTTGGCGAGGATTTCTGATTCCTCTCCGAGTACTAAGTCACTTTTCAGTCCTGTAAGTCCTTGATTATCAACGTTACGTCGCTTTGTTGATCAGTCTCTCCTTATGAGTATTGCATATTGTGGGGTAATGATTAGGGCTCAGGCCAGGAATATGCTTTAATCGACAACTATCTTGAACCAGTTCACTTGAGGTTCTCTGTATTGTATTGCAACTTATTACATCTGTGACACAGATTCTGTGTTCCGAGCGTCCTGGCTTTTCTTCTACTCGCGTTAGCGATAGGTAGTGCAGCGAACCCGAATGCAGCACTAATGGTGCTATGATTCTCGCTCTCTATAGTCAGTGACTACTAGTCACGGATGTAACACCGTTACAGACAAGAGCAGGCTCCGTCTTCTTACATCTGATTTCATTAATGATTACCTCATTGGTATTTTGTTGGGTTGTGGAATAGTTGCTCGATAAGCAGCGCCAATCCGAGGTCTCACAACAGTAGCCTCCTCCGAGGAGGCTCCTCGGAACCGACTTGCGCATTGTCAAACAAGACAATTCGGAATGACTTATTCTCACAGCCTGTGAAGTTCACAGTGTGAACCAGGATGATCTTCCTGGTACTGTATACAATACCTCATTATACCAAATATCTATATATCAACCCGTATCAATGAGGCTGTAGTGAATCACTACTAGTGGTAATTCACTGGTTAACTGTGATACGTTGGACGGACTGCATAACGATCGGATGAATCTCGACTCAATACAGGTTAGTTGATGACCGACAAATCTTGAATAGATTCCATTCTAACCGTTGTAACTTCGGCTCGCTAATAAGGTTCGGACCAGCAGTGATTGGGAAACGCCACCTGGGCTGGTGAATAGCACTGCCACCCAGTCCGTGGGAATAAATGCTCGCTTTCCTCAGCTGAGCTCAGGAGTTCTTTCACTAATTATACAAGTTTTCCTACGAATTCGCTTAGTAGTGTATAGAAACCAATGAGCGCTCCCTCAATAATTGAGGGAAACGCTCATTGGTTTCTGTAATAGTTGAGGCTCAATTCTTCCTCGGAATTCCCACACATGTCACCAACACACGTAGTCGATCATGTGCCTATTTCCTCACACTGCATCCAGTTTTCCCAAAATTTGCTTTCCTGAGGAACCTAGACGCAGCAATACAAACCACGCCGTTCAATCACCGTGCTCTGCAATCCGGCGTCCAGCATTGGTGGATTAGTAACATTTGATCATTGGTACCAATCACAAGGAAATGTATTGCTGATCTCAAGTTGATAGTTTTTTTCCAATGACATATCATGGGCACGAGCAGTAATCAACAAGAGCAATGGTACAGCTATGAAGACTGGCATCTCAGAGTCATAAGGCCAGACAGTAGACCATGTATAACATCAGGACTCCTGATTCAGGAGTAGTGGAGCTTCAGCAGTCAAAACCAAATCTTCAAATCCACCACCCAGAACACAGACTACCGACTGATTATCCAAGCAAAAACAGGTACCATTACTCACCAGTCTACCAACCATACTTAGTAACCACCGTAGAGCATGGAAGACATCAGCCAACTCAGCATAGTAGATCGAACCATAGGGACTGAGCGGCACTACCTTCTCACTTTGAACGTACCCATCAGGCACACATCTATAGCCACATCTAAGCATCAGCCTTTGATCCATCAGAGAAAACTGTCAGGATCCCATCTGCAAAATCAGAGAGCATGTTCTCAGCACATCTCTTGAACTCCTTTTCAGTGCCATCTTTCTTCATGACGCCTTGACCGATGTCTAACCGAACCGAGCCGAAAACAGCACAGTACCTATCTATGGGGTCTCTACTCTAGTAGTTGAACATTGAGGAAGAGCATCTGGTAGTAGACCTGATAGTTCGTCCATCACATCATCAAATCTGTGCAGTGGGGCTCTTCCCTTCAATTTTCGCAAACCCGTCCAATCATCCAAGGTCAGCTGTGCTACATGAGTGTAAAACAAGGACTGAGCCCGGAGAGTCCACCCTATAATGGCCAGATCCAGGAGATAGTTGATTGGCTCCAGTCCAGACTCGCGCAGACCCGAGTCAGCAGAAGTTTGTTTCGGCAACCCAATAATGAGTCTCGCACCAGCATTCTGTGTAATCTGCAATTTAGCTAGCACTCTCACGCTAGCAGCGACTCGAGTGCATAACGCATCTCTCACCCTAGACTCCGCTACTGCTTGGTACGTAGACCTAAACACAGCGGCCGAGTAACCAAAGTTCGCCCCTGCGACCGCATGCACGAGACTCAACCTAGCCTTAAGATTACACACCAGGGCATCAACGTTTGCCCGACAGCTCAGACCTGGATCTAAGATTATGCCTAGATACTTCAGCGTCGGTGTACTTTCAGCTGCTGACCATACAAAGGCAACTTCGGTAAGAACCTGGTACTTCCGAGTGTGAAAGCGATGCACTGGGTCTCAAGGGCGTTAGTAGTAAGCTTCAAATGATTTGAATCAAATCGTCTGCCCAGCTTTGCAGAGGATTCAAAGCTGTCTGCATCAATCTCTCTGCTCTGGTACTTGATTCAGACTCAACTAACAGCAAGATACCATCCGCAAATCGCAGCACTAGACAGTTTTCACCCCGAATATCTTGGAGCTGAGAGACCAACACAGCAAATAACCATGGTGAAACCACACTTCCTTGAGGTGTACCACAGTTCGGCAGCATAGTATCGCTCACAGAGTTCTCACATCCTACACGAAACTTCCTATGTTTCAAGAAGTCATTCAACCATACCAAGAGCGGCTCTAAGTATCAGCGTCAATTTCTGAACCCAGGCAGTGTCGAAGGCCTTGGACATATCAACTGCTACTCAAGCAATCGCTTCACATGCAGAGCCTTGATAACCTTCATGAACAAAATGAAGGCCTCTCATGAGTACATCTTCAGTGATGTGACAAGGCCTGTATGCCGCTTGACTAGCAAGGATAGGTGGGTTCGCGTTTTGAAAACGCCGTTTTCCGACCGAAAGGTGAGTGTAGCTTGAAGAGTCCGCCAGCAGCGTTACAGCACACTGATGTCAAGGATATAGGCCTAAAACCTGCCGCCCCAACACACATACCCGCCTTCTTTGGAATGCTCCCTATTTCAGCTCTTTTGCATTCCTTAGGCAACCTACCCATCATGGAAGAGGTAGTTGAGCCTCTCCCTCTTTGTGCAGCCATAACACCTCAATTCCATCTTGATTGACCCAATTTTCATCCTCAAATTGATAGTATGAGGCCACGACCTACCTCACTATGCTGCTCATCCCCAGTAGTCTACTGGCAGTAGACGCTAGTTAATTGGGCTCTCGACTTTGGAGGCCAGGTATGAGCGAAGCCTGATGATACTTGTTGGGTCTCAAAGGTTAGCGATATCGTGACCGTCATTTTGACGCTCACCGCAGGCGCTGATGGTATCTCGAGCTGACCATATCTGTATCCAGCAAGCTCATAAGAACTTCAATACACACCAAATACATACAAATATTTGTTGAGTTCGATGAGAAATCACTACAGTACATACCTGTATAAAAGAACCGCATGCACTTCACGTGAATTTTCACGTCGGGGTAGATTGAGGTGAAAGATATGTCGGCACTATAAGTCTGAGATACACCCCTATGTGAACAATTTGTGTTGTTTACGACATCCTTGGGGAAACCAGTTCCATGAATACCTGAAGTATTTAGCGTGAAAGTTGTTGAGTTGAGCATCTTATGTTCTCGTATGGAAGATATGAGAGAGGTTGAGTTGACTTCCACTTGCCGACACAAGAACATCTTCAGCAATATCACATCACAGGGAATTCACATGGAATATATGAATGAAGACTACTTGAACATACTCAATAACATCATCACATGAATATATAGATTACATTATGTCTATTGCACTCAATAGTTCAATACGCTTCTCGCCCCTATCCGAAAACTGTGCCAGTAGGATAACATATTCCCTCTCTTCAATTCTCAAGATGTAGAAGGTTCCTTTAAAGTTGCCAACAGGGCTGGTCAATAGATAGCCATCAACCTCCAGTTCTACATGGTGTGTCGAACCATGTGATCTTTCTCTAGCCAAGACGAAGACCTTCTTATCTCCTTCACGTGGGTCTCTCAGTAGGACTTTAATTGTTTTATCAGTATGACCATATAACGATACATTCCGAACCGACTTGTCTCCACTGGAGACAAGTCGGTTCGGAACCACTTTTGCCTGGAGACTCTCCAGGCAAAAGTGGTTGAACTCGAGTGAGATCAAGGCTTAGTTCAGATGGTGGATTTTCGTCAACTAGAACGACCTTCAATAAATCCCTCTCTCTATCTTGCGTGAGCGTGTGGGGTCCGGTGGGCCAAAGGTGTTCACGATAAGTAAAACTGTTCTCAAGGGTAAAGGTGCTGGGTCGGGTTGTATGCATAAAACTGCCTTTGACCCTTTGAACAGCGTGAGATTCTATAGAGGGACGCTCTTGAATCATAGACTCGAAGCCAGAGAGAAGGTGCATTTGAATGAGATACAAATTAGGTTATAAACATGGTGACTTTCGAAATCACCTGTCGACCGAGTTCAGTTGTTTTACTCCAACACAGGATCTCGTCCTCAAATT